TCCATAGAGTCCACAGGCCCCCCACTGTCCAGGGGGATCCCCAGCGCCCAGCCGCCGCTGCCCGATTGGTTTCTGGTTCCCCGTGCCCAGGGGGATCCACAGCACCCAGGTCTAGGGTGACCAATTGTCCCGATTTTATAGGGACAGTCCCAATTTTTGGGTCTTTTTCTTATATAGGCTCCTATTACCCTCAACCCCTGTCCCGATTTTTCACATTTGCTGTCTGGTCACCCTACCCAGGTCCCTGCTGCCCGATTGGTTTCTGGTTCCCCGTGCCCAGGGGGATCCACAGCGTCCGCAGGCCCCCACTGCCCAAGGGGATCCCCAGCGCCCAGGCCCCCGCTGCCCAGGGGGGTTCCGTTAGGTTCCTTGTGCCAGTGGGATCCCCAGTGCCCACACTCCTGCTGCCCAGGGGGTTTCTGACTCCAGGGGCCCGGCACCCACGGCCCACAAGCTGAGGGTTAAGCCCCTGGAAGTGTTTGCAGGATAGAGACCCAATGGCAAGGCCATACATGGGTCCAGTGTGGTTTTGTAATGTAAACTCTTCCTAGGTGTTTTTAATGTGTATTACCGTCTTTAAAAAACTGAAGTTCTTGCACAGGACCCTTCTGGAACAAAAATGATTAAAGGTCTAGAAAACATGACCTATGAGGGAAAATTGAAAAAAATTGGTTTGTTTAGTCTGGAGAAGAGAAGACAGAGAGGGGTGATGAAAACAATTTTAAAGTACTTGAAAGGTTATTACAAATAAGAGAGAGAAAAATTGTTCTCCTTAACCTCTGAGGATAGGACAAGAAGCAATGGGCTGAAATTGCAGCAAGGGTAGTTGAGGTTGGACATTAGGAAAAAACTTCCTAACTGTCAGGGTGGTTAAGAACTATAATAAATTGCCTAGGGAGGTTGTGGAATCTCCATCACTGGAGATTTTTAAGAGCAGGCTAGACAAACACCTGTCAGGGATGGTCTAGATCAGAGGTGGACAAACTGTGGCCCGCGGGCCACATCTGGCCCGCACGACCATCCTGCCCGGCCCTTGAGCTCCCAGCTGGGGAGGCTAGCCCCTGGCCCCTCCCCTGCTGTCCCCCCACACCCTCAGCTCGCCATGCTGCCAGCTCTCTGGGCAGCGGGGCTGCGACCTCCTGCCGGGCAGTGCAGCTGTGAGAGCCACTGGCCTGCCCCGGTGCTCTAGACTGCGTGGCGGCATGGCTGGCTCCAGCTGGGCAACACGGCTGCCAGTCCTGGTGCTCTGAATGTCATGGTAAGGCGGAGGGGGTCCCGGGGGGCAGCCAGGGGACAGGAAACAGGGGAGGTTGGGTAGGCGTGGGAGTCCTCGGGGGCCTGTCAGGATGCGGGGGTGTGGACAGGGGTCGGGGCAGTCGGGACAGGGACCAGCGGAGGTTGGATAGGGGGTGGGGTCCCGGGGGAGTGGTTAGGGGCGGGGGTCCTGGGTGGGGGCAGTCGAGACAAGGAGCAGGAGGGGTTGGATGGGTCAGGGGTTCTGAGGGGGGCATCAAGGGGTGGGAAGTGGGAGGGGGTGGATAGGGGGCAGGGGCCAGGCTGTTTGGGGAGGCACAGCCTTCCCTACCCGGCCCTCCATACAGTTTCGGAACCCCAGTGTGGCCCTCAGGCCAAAAAGTTTGCCCACCCCTGAGATAGACCAAAATCCCTAGATCCAAACATCCCCTGACTCTCATCTTTATATAGGTCAAACTAAAATCCAGATGTGAAGATCCCTTAATTATGGGGATGTCTGTATTTGGAGACAAACTTTGCAGCTTTGGGTGGCTTTCTAGTTTAAATGTGAGGTATGTGCAATCATCTCCTTCCTCTCTTTTTCTTTCTCCACCAAATGACCAGCTAAACCAGGGGTGGGCA